GCCGAAACACAGTTTTCGCCAATTCTTCCCGATTCAGGTCCGGCGGCGAAAATATAATCAGCTATTCGTTTGTTAATAAAATATTATTAGTAATGGAAACAGACTTAGACTTAAGGGTAAGAACTCACGGGTTTTCTGAAGGGAAGGGCTATTTGTCGCCGCAATATATGGAAATAACTGGCGGGTGTACTGCAATTGGCCACGATCATGTTGATGTCGTGCAATTGCTTCATCGTAAAGTCCTCATCAATTTGCTAAATACGTAATCAAATAATAAATACAAATACATTGTGAATATAAAACAATTAAAAGTGAGTTTACAGGAAATTGTTCGGATTCCGAGTTGACGAGCTGTAGGAAGCGTTCGGGTCGAGCACTGCTGTGTTCGGGACCCATGCCTTCCATACCATGCGGTAGTAATAAGACGAGACCGCTCTGGCGAACCCACTTCGCCTGACCACTGCTTATGAACTGATCAATAATACACTGAGCGGTGTTGAAGAAGTCACCGAACTGTGCCTCCCATATAACCAATGCGTTTGGATTAGTCATAGAGAAGCCTAACTCAAAGCCAAGGACTGCATATTCGGACAAAGAACTGTTGCATACGGTATACGGCGCCTGATCTGGATATAAGTGACAAAGAGGTCTATACGTTGTTTTGTCAATTGTCTGGTGATGTAAGACATGGTGTCTGTGACTAAAAGTTCCCCTCTCAACGTCTTGACCGCTAAGTCTGACGTGAATTCCTTCCTTCAGTAGTGAACCGAAAGCCATGGCCTCCGCGAGAGCCCAATCGACGCTTCGGTTTTCAATCATCTCTAACCTCGACTTAAGAATTCTTTTGATTCCGGGATGTATTTTGAAGTTTCCGGGCGGAGGAGTACTGAATTGAGTGCCAATATGTTTGAGCACTTCTTCGGGAGCACCGGTCGGATCGCATTTCAATTCACTTCTGGTGCCGAAGAAGCCACTCCACGGGGAGTCCAACCAATCTTTGTTATACATCTTCACCTCCTTCTCCGCATTCTTATACGCTTCCGTCAGAATCGCATCGTATTTATCATTCAGTTCTTCGACAAAACTTTCTGAAACACTGTTTTCATCGACAAGTTTGCGCG